ATCCTGGGTCCAGGAGCAGCACAGCAGGTGACTGGTCTGGATGAGGCCCGGCTCCTGAACAGAAGCAGACACCTTGCCTTCCCCCCCCTCCGGAAATGAACATTGGAAAGAGGCACTGAATTGTGGTTTCCACTCCTGCTCCCAGATAGAAGCCCCAGAAATCGGTGTGTGTGTGTGTGTTGGGTTTGAAATTTAAACCTATGTCTAAAAGACATAAGAGTGGACCAGAAGCAGACACCTTGCCTTCCCCCCCCTCCGGAAATGAACATTGGAAAGAGGCACTGAATTGTGGTTTCCACTCCTGCTCCCAGATAGAAGCCCCAGAAATCGGTGTGTGTGTGTGTGTTGGGTTTGAAATTTAAACCTATGTCTAAAAGACATAGAGTGGACACCCCCCCCCCCCCAGCTTGCTGTCACAGCACACCATGGAAACAAAACCTGAACTATTTGGACACAATTTTGTCCGTTTAAAAGGAGCCCCGCTTACTATTTGGGGCAGATGTGGAAATGGGGCAGAAAGAAGAGATTTTGTTTATTGCTCAGTTTGCAAAGATTTTGTGAATGCAGAAAGAGGAGTAGAAAGCCCCCAGACATAACCCCCCCCCAACACACACACCCAAACACGTGCACCCAGAGTTGAATTTGGGAAACGGCCCACTTTAACCTGCTAGCTAGCGCCCCTCCTAAACAGCAAACAGCCGCTGCTTCTGGCTCCCCCCCCAGAGGCTCCGTGGGGGCCCCCTCCCCAAGCAGCCACCCCCTCTCCTCCGGCCAGCGCCTCCCTGCTTGGAAACAGCACCTTTGAAGGGTAATTGCGGCAGCGGAGAAGACTGAAAGCAAGGCACCACGAGGAAGTCTGCCACCAGGCTCTGCACAGGGCCGGGGAAAGTCCTGCTCTTTGAAAACGGGGTCCAAGTGGGGCAGGCCCTCTCCCGCCTGGCCTCACCCCCACGGGCACTTCAGATGGGTTCCGGTTTCAGCTTGTCCAGTAGAAAGTCATTCACAAAGGCTTCCACGATGTCGGGGGTGATCTCCTCCACGTCCATAACGTACTTGGCCCGGGCGGACATATCCAGGATGGTGAGGAGCGGGGCCGCTTCGGGGAGGTTGGTGTAATCCCGAAGGGAGTCGGTCATGTTGTCCTGAAAGGCCAGGGGGGGGGAGAGGGGCCTGGTGAAATCGGGGCTGAGACACATCTTGACCAGAAAGTGGCCACACAAGCCGTCTGCCCCATAATGCCGTCATGTATAACAAACCTATAGGGACTGTGGTCTCTGGAATCACTTGTCCATTTGCTCTCTGATCAAAGAGCTGGGAGCTGGAATGGTACAGAAAAGGGTGTCTGCTTTTTGGGCACCCGCCTGGCGGCAGGCCTGTCCTTCAACCCAAAAGGCTGAGTCAGCCTCCTGCACGAAGTGCCTGGAAGGAGCACGGCCTTGGAAGAACCACGCCCGGTTCCCTCCTCCCCACTGGCCTGAAGATCCCTGTAATGGTGCCATGACTTCTTGCTGCTGTCTGACACGCTGGCACCGCTAGTGCGCCAATACAGTGCAAGAAGCCTTCCTATGCATCTGGATAAACACCTGGAGCAGAGGTCCATCAGTGGCTATGAGCCACAAGGTATAGATAGGAACTCACAGGCTGGGGCAGGTGATGCGCTGTATTCTTGGTGCTTGGGGGGGGGGAACAGTGGGAGGGCTTCTAGTGTCCTGGCCCCACTGCTGGACCTCCTGATGGCACCTGGTATTTTTGGCCCCTGTGTGACACAGAGTGTTGGACTGGATGAGCCATTGGCCTGATCCAACATTGGCTTCTCTTATGTTCTAGTGTGGCTGCAGTTGGTGGGAAAGGTGGTCACAACTGTGGGGAGAGAAGGGAGTTACACCAGAGGGATTCTACGCACACACAAGGAACAGTTAAGGAACTGGGGGGCTTTTAGTTTAGGAAAAAGGACAACTAAGAGGGGACATTATAAAGGTTGAGATAATCACACATGCCTGTGGGAAGCCAAACATTCTCCCACTCGTAATTCCAAACCTCTCTGTAGTGGCCAGCGAGATTTGGGACCAATTTGCTCTCGCTCTTGTGGCTTCAAGTAACTGAGTAGAACTCAGACTCGTCCAAGCAGACTTTTCTTGCTCTCGCTCTTGTGGCTTCAAGTAACTCAGACTCATCCAAGCAGACTTTTTCCTGCGCGAGGCTATCGTATTTACCAGTCAAACAAAAAGCGTGACTCAGATCAGGTGGCCGCAGTTTCTGCCCAAAGATGAAGATCCGGGTGTTCGCCTGGGGGCCCAGGACAGGCAGTCCCCATCCATGGCACACGCCACAAAATCAACTTGGGCCTCTCGAACCCACACCGTGACAGGAATGTAAAAGACCTTCCCCATAGGGGATCATCAGTCTCAGTTACCCTCTTTATGGCTCTTCTGCTATCTGGGAAGCATCTTTGAAATGTTCGGAACTCTATTTTAAAACAAAAATGCTTCCCGTTTCACGAGGCTTACTGCTTTATCTGATTTGGTGTGCAGTTTGTTTTTAGAATCCTTTCCTCCGGGAAGCCACCTCCGAAAGGCAGAGGAATGCCTGTCCATGGGAACAGCCGCCCCTCCCCCTAAGTCCCCTTCTTTGCAAAACACAGCACTGACTGAAGGAAGACGTGGCCGCCCTCCGAAAAGGGTCGGAGGAATTCCAGGAGGGCTAGTCTCGCACAACCTCCACATCCAGGGGGAAGACTTCAGGTCCAAACAGCATGTGACCGCTGTCGGAGGGAGCACATGCCGGTCTGGATGGATCTTTGCTTTGGCAGTAACCTTGCTGGGAGCTGGGGCCCGTCTAATTTTTGCCAAGTATCGTTTTCACAGTCTCCATCAACACCGCTGACAGCAAGCAAAAAACTGGGCGTGCACAGTTCTTGAGGGCCCCCTGGAACTGGAGCGACAGAAAAACTTGCTTTGAGTCTCCTGCCTTCCAGGCCCGCCTGTCAGTCAAGCCACGGAGACAATGGGGATGATGGGGGCCACCCCGCCTCCCGCTGAAAGAGGGTGGAAGCCGGGCCAAAGGTTAAGCTCTCTCCCTGTTGGGCAGCAACGCCCTCCCGGGTTGCAAACGCAGCTGGGTGGCTGGGTGCTCACGCCCTTTTGCTGTGCCTGTCAACTCCCCCCCCCCGGCCAAGGACCCCAAAGGGCCGAGAAGGAGGCACCATTCCCTGTCCCCCCTCACACGCACTGAACATCCTGGGAACCTCACCTTCCAGTTTAAAAAGGCAAGTTTCTAGCCCTCAAGACAAAGGGGAAGATAGGCCCAGAAAAGCTGACCTCTCACAGCCAGGGCAACAGAGACTAAGCTATAACCAATGCTCCCTCTAAGCTATGCAGTCTTGTGAGCAAAAATTCTACTTTCTTTTCTTTTTTTTTTAGCAATGTAATGAATGATGGAAAATAATTAAAATACAAATAAAATGCCAAATATTCTACTTTCTGAGCTACTGGTGTAAACGTTGTGAGTGAGTGATCTGGCTACTGCATAAGTCAGTTTGCTCTGGAGCCATCCTGAGGCTAAAAAACTCCGAGCCAGCTCACACTGACTCAGCTTAGAGGGAACACTGGCTATAACAACAGCTCCTTGCCTTCAATCTAGTCCTGACACAGGCAGAAGAAATACGTGCACAACTGTTGCAGAATTCACTTGTTTCTGGGCTCAGGTAGCACAAGAAGCTGAGCTGTGAACCATCAACTCCCAGGCTGAAACGTCGTCGCTTTAAAAGGCCTCCACTCCCCTGCCCCTTCCACCAGTTTGCAGTGTGACATCAATGTCAGCTGACCTTACAGGGCTGTTGCAAAAATATGTGTTCCGTGTAAATGGACAAGTGCTAAACACAGGCTAATTCCGCTTAAACAGCTCACTGCTACTAACGATGGCGCAGGCTGCCTCAGAAAATGCCATTCTGAAAAGAGCCCTGCCCACCGGCACACGATCCATGGGGGGTGCCACCCCCTCCAAGACATCACGGTCTGCCTCTCCCCCATGCTATAAAATGGCGGCCACTTATTTCTAAATGCGTAAAGCCATGAGCATTTCAGTGCACAGAGTGCCTGAAGGTGCAGGGAGGACATCCCAACGGATTTTTTGCAATGAAAACCGCCCATGGTCTTGGGAGTGTTCCGAAAGAAGGACCGCCTGTCGTTCCCGGGGCAGAATGAGGGTGGCCCGTGGCCACTCCAGTGGTGCAGTGAGGTTGGAGCCGCGCCCTGTGGACGGACCACGAAGCCATGCCACACACCAGCACACGAGGGCAAAGCTGAACTGCTACCCGATGCCGGCACAGAAATCCTGCCAGACTTGCTTCCCAGCACCATCCGTCCCCCTCCCTCTCCCATGCTGCAAACTTGACATTTCACCCGTCTCCCCCTTCGCCCCTCTGCGCAGCCCTCCCCCCGGGGTTGCCGTGTCAGCCCCCCAGAGGCCAGGGGCCCGCTTCTGGTGCCTCGGAGGACGACTGCAGCTGGCCGGGGTGGCTTCGGATGCCCTTTATTGACAGCCAACAGGTGGCACCTGTCTTCCGTAGCGCCCGTTTGGCCGGATGATTATTATTTTAAACCGAGCTGAAAAGATGGAGACTGGAAGCCCCGCCCTGCCTGCCACAGAAACCGCAGTGCCCGCAATCAAGGGGGCGTTGCCTGCGCATGCCGCAGTCCTTCCCTTTCCAGGGTTAGCGGCGTGCTCGGGGGCGCCCCGACGCTATAGAGGAGGTGATGAATGGGTCATTCAGGCAGCTGTCAGGGAGGTGGCAAGCAGATGGCGCCCTGAATGAATGAAGGGCAGTGTCCTCATCAACGGGAGCCGGGCTGGCCAGAAAGAGGGGGGGGGATATTTCCAGGGCTATCGGGGAGGGGGAAAGGGTGCAAGAGGACCCCTCCCCTCTTGGTCTAGGAGCTCTGCTTTCCAACAAGAAAAACATTCAGAAATGCTGGGGTGGGGGGGTGGGGGTTAATGGCAGAGTTCTGAAATATGTGGAGGGGGAGACGGGGAGGGGGATGTGTTGCTAACAAAGGTCTGGAAGGAGCAGCGTTTCTGTGTGCCCATTGTGGCGGATTGCGGGATTCTAAATCCAAGGGTCAGCCCCAGAATGTGGAAACCCGGCCCCCAAACCCGTGGCGCTGTTTTTTAAAACGAGAGCTGCCAGCGCTGTCTCAGGCCAAAGGGGACTGCGAAGGGGGAGTTTGCCTGAACCTGGGTGGCCCCGGGGAGCCCGACCTTGGAAGGGAAGCAGGAGTGGCCCCGGTTAGTGTTTGGAGGGGAGACCGTCAAGGAAGTCTGGGGCCACGGTGCAGAGGCAGGCCATGGCGACCCACCTACGGGCGACTCTTGCCACGGTCTGGCCTCCCTCTCTAGCTGGATCTGAAGGAGTGAGCCGTGACTCCTGAAAGCTCCTCCCCTGCTGCAAATGTTGCTAGTCTTTAAGGTGCTTCTGGACGCTGGCTCTTTCCCGCTGCTGCAGACAGACTGACACGGCTCCCCATCTTGATCTGTCTCCTGCCATGAAACCCTACAGGGTCACCCCAAGTCAGCGGCAACTTGAAGGCACTTTGCACACACGCGCGCGCGCGCGCCTGCCTATTATGACAAAAGAAAGCCAAAGTCCAGTGGGACCTTAAGGACTAACAACATTTACTTCAATATGAAATATTAATATATAACTCATGAAAGCCCATATTGGAATAAAGACCCAGTTTGGTGTCGTGGTTAAGTGCGCGGACTCTAATCTGGGAGAACCGGGTTTGATTCCCCACTCCTCCACTCGCACCTGCTGGATGACCTTGGGCAAGCCATAGATCTGTCAGAGCTTCTCTCTCAAGGACAGTTCTCAAAAGAGCTCTCTCAGCTCCACCTACCTCACAGGGTGTCTGTTGGGGTGGGGAGGGGAAGGGAAAGGGAAAGAAGATTGTAAGCCACTCTGAGACGCCGAGTGAAGGGTGGGGTATAAATTCAATCTCCCCCTCTTCTTAAATGTTAAGCCTTTTAAGGTGCCACTGGACTTTGGTTTTATCCGGACAAAGGTCCCACCAGGGTTCCAACCCTCTGAGAAAGCTCACTTGCAGGGGAACGAAGGCAATGCCCCCTCCCATCATTGGGTGGTCAAAGGTAGACTGCCCTTGAGCACAGCACTACTGCGCCATTTGATGTCAGTGGGGTTCGGCATGGAAACTGCTAACAGAACATGTGGGCAGGTCAAATGCACAGCTGTTCCAGAGTTACCGCACAGAAACACCGTACGGTCTGGAAACTCCCTTTTCCAAAGCGGCTGCCGACTGCGCTCTGAACAGGAAGTAAGGCTACACCAACTGGATCTGTTCCGAGGGAACGTTAGGGGGGCAATTTGCAATTATATGTTTGGAAAATTTATATCCGGCCTTTACAGAAACCTGATTGGGGCGGCTCCCAAAGTAAAAAAAAAAAGGATACAATAAAACCATTAAAAACAAAATGACCAATAATCAAGCAAGGCATAAAAATGAGCATGAAAGGAGCACAAAAACAGCACAGCCAGTTCTGCACCCCAAAATTGCATCCATAAAAACAGTACTTCACACTACAAATGGCCAGGGAAAAATGGAACTCCCTCCTTGAAAAGCCTTGGTGAAAAGGGAAATGTTCTGACCTGGCACTGAAAAGCCAGCAAAGAGGCACCCGGCGGCGAATCTCGAGGAGAAGGGTATTCGGGAGGCGCCAGGTACTGAAGGGGTGTGTACGCTCGCTCACTGGAACAAGGACTAAAGCCTGCCAAGGGAGTTCCCATCTAAGGCAGAAGCTGTACTTGAAACCGGTGCACAGCCAACAAACACTTCCCCCGTTTCTTTCCTGTGCTGCAGTCATAAGAACATAAGAGACGCTAATGTTGGATCAGGCCAAAGGCCCATCCAGTCCAACACTCTGTATCACACAGTGGCCAAAAATATCAGGTGCCATCAGGAGGTCCAGCAGTGGGGCCAGGACACTAGCAGCCCTCCCACTGTTGACCCCCCCCCCAAGCACCAAGAAGACAGAGCATCACTTGCCCCAGTCAGCTGTTATTTCCCTTTTCCAAAAAGAATTTGGGGAACTGTCATTTGGCAAGGGGGTCCTGAGAATTCACGTGACCTTCAAACTACCATTTATCTGCAAGAAACTGTCTACCACGCCAGCTTCACTGTCTACCATGCCAGGTACATTGTACCGCTCTGGTTAGCCGCCCTGAGCCTGTTCGCAGGATGGGCGGGGTATAAATGTAATTAATAAATAAACAAGTCTTTATCACCACCCCCACCCACATCCAATGATTTATTCATTGCCGGAGAGCACACAGGAGCCCCCCTCACACACCTCTCCAGCCACGAAGAACAGTAGCGGGGCCTCCTCGTCTTTGGCTCTGTATTTGGCAATTATTTTCTCAGCAATGGGCTGGATGAGCTGCTTGGCTGCTTCAGACTCTCCGTCGTCATCAGAATCTGTAAGGAAAGAGAGAAGGCCGGGGGAAAGTCAGGATCCAATTTACCAGGAGGCTTTTGGTGTTGGTTAGGGTGGGGGGCACAGTGATTCTGGGCCCCTCTGCAAAGTTTCACATGAAGCACAAGTTCTCTGGGAGCTTCAAGGTCCTCTGTTTGTCAGCTTCTGTATCTTGCCATTTGTGAGCAGAAGACAATGAGGACCAGCAACTTGCTGGGCTGTATTTAAAGCGAAAGCCCCAGTACTCAGGAGAGCTGCATGTTGCCAATTCCACCGCATACTGCAGCTTCTCTGTACTCCTCAGTGGCTGGCAGCCAGCGTAGCAACCTGGACAGATGGGCAGACAGACAACACCAAAGGTGATGGCAGCAGTGCTCCCTCTAAGCTGTGGGGTCCTGTGAGCAAAAATTCTTACTTTGCGAACTACTGCCATTAAAGCTGTGAGCAAGTGATGTGGCTACTGCCTAAGTTAGTTTGCTCTGGAGCCATCCTTCCTGAGTGGAGACAAAAATGCGAGCCGGAGGCTAAAAAAACTGTGAGCTAGCTCACACTCAGCTGAGAGGGAACACTGGTTGGCGGGCTCCCATGTGCACTGCGGTACCCGCCGACACCTTTCCTGGGGTCCAGTAACCATCCGTAGAAAGTGGACGGGGGGGGTAGACTGCCCCTTATCCAGGAGGTTCCATATAGCTATCGTGGGTGCTGATCAGCTCAGTCGCCCCTGCCACGACTGTCCAATCCCCTTTTAAGGCAGACCCAACAAGGCTCCATCCAGTGGGGTGGCTATTCAAGCACCGGATCAGGACGTGCCCCCTGCTGAAGGGCAGCCGTGGGGGTGGGGGCACCTGCCTAGTCTCAAGCCACCCGGGAGGCTCCTGCCAGTGGCCTCTTCTTCTCCCTTGCCCACAAGACACGCAGATCGAAAGCAGCTCATTTCAGAAGCGGCAAAAAGCACGCATCGGTTCTTCTGAACTCAGCTGCTGGCTGGATTAGGGGGGGGCCTGTGCTGTGCCGTATGTCTCTTTGTTGTCCCAGCCCAATCCGAGCAGTCCTCTGCGTCCCAGGAGAGGGGGGTCCCCACCACCCACCCTCTTATTTAAAACAGACTCCAGAAGCCCCCCCCCCCCCGCTGCATCCGTGAGATCATTAATGGGATTAATTTCCCCACCAGTCCAGCGACCCTGGCTCCGGTCCAGCTTCCTGGCTCCCGGATGACCTCCCCCGCGACTCTCAAGTAGGTGGCAAGGCCTGGGATGCAGAAACGATTAATAAGAGAGACACGTGAAGGGACTGTACAGGCCCCCTCCTCAATCTACAATGCCTCCTGGCTGCTCTGAGGCCCCCCTCTCTTTGGTGAAAGGGTGTTGCGACTCTAACGGACAACCCTTTTACCGGCAGGGAGGCACTAGAGGGGGTGTGTCCCCCCCCCCAGGAGGACGGGATGGGAGCCTTCCAGCAGGGATCTGGTCTACAGCCACAGGCAAGGTCTGTGTGCAAGCCACACACCACACACACACACACACAAATGCAAGGGGAAAAGCGGAAGAACACAGAATGTGCCTGAGTGCAAAACTCGGCTGCCTGGCAAAGCCGGCTCCGATTTCTTCTTCTTCCTCCAGGTCTCCAGGCCTTCTGATGGTGAAGATATGCCTGAAAAGTGGGTTTGGTCTCGTATAGTGCAGTGCCTGCCAGGTCAAAGGTCCCCTCTCCCACCAGCACACTGGGTAGCCTTAGGGAAGCCCCCCCCCCCGCCGTGCCTCATTACAGAACACTGGCCTACCTTACAGGGTTGTAAGAATCACCGGGGAAAATCCGGGAAGTGCATTTAATACTGACAGCAGCAAACACAGGATCGTTTTCCTCCCACACCGGAGGTCTGGAGAGAGAGGGCTGAGGAACAGGCTTGCTATTAGTCCTGCTGGGCCACTGGGGGGCGCAAAATGGGGGGGGGGCAATCACCAGGACACGTGGGGGGGAGTGCTTCAGCAGGCTGAGGGGAGGGGGAGCCAGGCCCCAGGGCCTGGCTCCCCCTCCCCTCAACCTGCTGAAGCGCTCCCCCCCCTCCACTTGAGCTGTCTGCTGAGAAGGTCGCTCCCTGCAGAGCCCTGGGCCTGTCATTAGGAAGACAGGCGCCATCAATCACCCGGGGGGAGGGAGCCGGAACAGCCATTCCCTCCCCAGGCTATGCAAGACAAGCGGGACTCCCAGAGCTCCCTTCCACTGAACATATAACCAAAGCCACAGCAAAGCTTGGGGTGGATACTAAAATCTGGAGACTGGAGCCATGTACAGACAAGACAGATCTTTCTACAAACCTGAGAAAAGCCTAAAGTTTACAGGAAAACCCAAAATGTAAAAAAGTACACTGGGGGATTACCCCCCCCCCCCAAGGCAGCAAATGGACAGGAGGGCTTTATTTCCAGGCTGGAAAAGAGAGAGATGGCTGCTAGTCAGGTCGACACGCATCCCTGTTTCCCTTTCTGCTGAAGGGGCCTTGCCCCTTTTTGAGAGCCAGTTTGGTGTAGTGGTTAAGTGTGTGGACTGTAATCCGGGAGAACCGGGTTTGCTTCCCCACGCCTCCCCATGCAGCTGCTGGTGCGACCTTGGGCAAGCCACAGTCCTGTCAGAGCTGTCCTTGAAAAAGAGCCATTTCTGTCAGAGCTCTCTCAGCCCCACCTACCTCACAGGATGTCTGTTAGGGGAAGGGAAAGGCATTTGTAAGCCACTCTTGAGACACCTTTGGGTAGTGCAGGGCGGGGTATAAATCCAATCTCCTCCTCCTCCTCCTCCTCTTCTTTTAAAAATTGTTTCAGAGCCAAGCGGAACATGACAGCCGCAGATCCAGGTGCTTAACGCCAGACCTGCACAGAAACCCGGGGCAGCAGACACCCCTGGGAAACGCTTTGGGCCTCTGGCGAAGCAGACGCTCGCCCGCAAAGGCTCCGGCCAGAAGAGATCTGCTAGTTTCTTAAGGTGCCGCCGGACTCCTTTTTTGGGTAGAAGCAGGGGAAGCCCACAGAAACAGGAAAAGAAGTGTGCCGGTGAGGGGCTCGGGGCCCAGAGCCTTCCTTTGCCTGGTTGCCTCCCCATGTCCCGCCCAGCCGGGACCCTGGACAGCATAAGTCAATCTGGCTGGGGCGGACATGGGGAGGCAACTCCAGATAGAGCAAGGCCCTGGGCCCTGAGCCCCTCACTGGCAGCCAAGTGCAGGGGGAGAATTCTGCATCCCTCCTCCTGACAACATCTGAGCTCAGCCTCCGTTTCTGTGCCGTTTCAGCAGATCTGGGCTTTCCAATTTATATATATATTTCTTCAAACATACAGACATATCCTGTTATGGAGACATGTTTATATAAGGCCACAGGCTTCTGTTCATGATTAAAAATTAACTGTAATCCAACAGTCAATTGGAGTGGGGGGGGGGGCAATCAGCCCCATGAAGGAAGAAGTCAAGAAAATATGAAGTTATTCAATGGAAACCGCTGAGGGGAGCAGCCCAAGTTTTTATCCCACGGTATTGCTTTGCCACACTCGGCCGAGGTGTTCTGAATGCATGCTAATTTGGAAACTGAGTTTTGGCGGGGATGGCAAAAATCCCCCCTGTCCCAAGATGCCGGCAGTTTTCTTCTGGTAGCTAAAACAATCTGTCCGTAAAATGTGTGCCTTTTCCAGATCTGAAACTGCAGGAAAGACGCCAAAGACTGCTTCTCGAAAAGGAAACAAACAGATGTGAATATTGAATTTCCACATGACAAAAAGCCAAAAGCTTCTTGGGAGATCGGTTCTCTCGTAAGCGAGTGCCATACTCTGTGGAGCTAAGAGGAGGGGCCGTCTCCCCCCAGGGCCAACAGGGACCGCCAGATCCCTCTGCAGGCCCCCCCCCCGTTCCAGCTGGCCACAGACTGACTCTTTGCCTGGATCAGTCCAGTATCT